GTGGATGGGAAACTTAGTCTTGGAATTGAGTGAATATGGTAATATTACACTTAATTTTCTTCACAAATATTGATATATAGTAAAGTCCTTGTGTTTTCATATTATACAATTTTTTTTTTAGCGATAATGCAGTTCATAAGATTATATGTATATAACTGAGCTCTTGAATGTTTGACTTAATAGCTTTCTAAATTCACTGATCATATACAGCGTCTGCTGGGTATTAGAATCTTGCTTAATAGTCTCAGCTGCGTATCAGTATTAAACCCCCAAAACTGAATGCCAAAAACATTGTATGATGGACATTTTATGCTGCTTATTCAAATCTCACTTAATAGAATCAGCTGCTTATAAGCATCAAATGTTATATAACCTTTTTTATTTTAATTGGAGTAGACCAGGAGTGTCCCACGGGAGTGCTGGGGAGTCCCCACCGTGCTCAGTGGTGGACCCAGAAGTGGACTTCCGGTCCACTTCCAGGTCCACTGCCGAAAACACTGGGGGTGGAACTTGTTCCGGTGGGACACTTCATCCGCCCCACCATCGCAGCATTCACGAGCTGTGATTGGTACCTCAAGGTATGTAGAAAAAACATACAAAGCTGTGTCTACAGCTGAATCGCTGATTCTCTGAATCAGAATTTAATCTTCAGATTCGGATTTGGACAAATTGAATCAGGACAGCGATCCATATCAGCTAATCAAATCACCGTCCCCCGAATTGGGCTGAATCTGAATCAAACATGGCCCGCTTTGCACACCCCTAGCTGTTATACATGCGTATGTGGTCAGCTAAGTTTCATTAGAGTTCTATTCTTCTTCCCCAGTGGGGTCAATGTTTTTGGTAGGCGTGCCAGAAATTAAGCCCTGTGGATCTCCCTGCACCTCTGATCCTTTTTGCCTGCCTGATGTGCTATTGTGCTTTCTGCTCCCTGCCCTTTGCTCCCTGCCTGCTCTGCTTTTTGCTCCCTACTCTATCTGCCATTGTGCTGCCTGCCCCTTCTGTGATCTGCCGTGTGCCCCATAAAGAGGCTGCCTATGCCACTTGTGGTGCTCATATCACAGGTTGGCCTCTGTGTTCTAGCCCAAACTAGTAAAGTGGCCATCTTTATGCTGACTCCAATAGAAAATGGTAAGTTGAGATGGTAATTTTTTTCCTCCCTGGTTGCTTACTCAAAAACTGATAAATTAGCAACCACATTGACTTGTGTTGAAAATAAGTTTTAGAAATATTACCTCAAAAAGATGCTCATAAAATAAGTTAAAGGGCACTAAAAATAGATTTGTTGGATGAATTGTATCATTATATGATCTAGAATATTTTCTTCCATGTGACTTAAAACTTGTGGCTGCTTTACCAGTCTCTTTCAGTGGTAAGAAAAGTACAACTACATAAATATGGTATTTGGCTCGCTTTGAGTAAATGTGATATTTTATGTAAACTATCTATGTTTAAGCAGTATCACAGCATGGTGAAAGCGGTTTCCTTCACTTATATTCTTAGAAGTGAAAATGGATGTATATTGTTTTGCAGTTGAGGAAAAATAAGGTATGTTTCTGAAAAACTTACATAGCTGAAATGACAAATTGACACTTTGTAAGAGACTGATTGGGAGGGTTTTTATGTTAGACTTATCAGTGAAGTGCAAACCTTTTTAAAAATTCTGGTAAGACAGACAGTAATATTTATTTAAAGCTTGATTTAAGTTTCTTATTTTTTCCAATAGAACTGTGAAAATATTAACTTGTATATCAGAAAATATAAGTGCCTTAAGAAGTTTGTTGCTTCATGAATCAAATGATCAAGTGGAACTGGGAAGCAGTTGTGCTGTAGATTCAAGAAGACCTGGAATTCTGTCCACCATTCTTGAAGAAGAAATGGATGTAACACCTGAATTCACTAGAAGCCTGCAAGATAATTTAAACGACTCCGATAATTCTTTAATGTGCATCAAGGGGGGGCATCCTATTGATAAAGAAACAGAAGGTACCAAGATTGACCATAAAGCTGGGACTGAAGAGGCAGAATCCAAGAAAAGCCTGGATAGAGAGTGCTTAATGTCATTGAACATTACTGAATATGAACTTCAAATGTTGGAGCAACAGGCTAATGAAGAAATGCTAAAAGAAGCTGTTTGTGTGACTGAGGTAATAGAGAGAAAGTAAATCAATACAGATCATAAACATTGTTAATTTACTAAGATATTTTAAATAGCTGTCTGTGAGTGACAGTTAATATGAAATATTTAATTGCTGAACTTTAAAGTTTTAGTTTTGGCAGCATCTAAACTTGTCAGTTTGAGCTGCTCTTTAGGTCTGCTGCCAGTTGGCTCTTATTACTTCACGATCTGGCCAAACACTAGATATTTTTAAAATTTATCCTGTACTGTTCACATTTAATGTGTGAATTTTAGGCCCCTGGTCCATAATCATTTCAGGCCCCTGCCACATGCTGTGCCAGTAAAGTTACTGGGAGCCACATAGGATCTGATCCCCGACCCCTTCATGGCAGGAATCATGATTTTGTAATCAAGGATCAGTTCCTAATTATGCCATTATTGCTTGCTGGTGCATCATCATGCTGGGGTCCCCCTGCACTGGCAAGTTGAAAGAAAAGTGCCCAGGTCCAGCTGGCTGACAATCAGCTGATTGTCAGATGACAGCTGGGACCATACTGGGGACTCAGACTGGCTCTGGTGTGATCTGAAGCTGGGCTGTTGGTCAGCTGATTGTCAAAACCCCATGCCCCAGAGCTCTGGCCAGGTTGCTAGGTGCAGGAGATAAGAGGTTCCCAGCTGGGTCAGGGGCGTTGAAGGACTTCTCTCGCTGGGGACTTTAAACCCTGCCAGGGGCCTCTGATCTCCTGTGCTTGGAAGGCCAACCAGAACTGGGGTTTAAAGTCCCCAGCAGGGAAACCCAGGGAAGCTGCCCCAGTGGTGCCCTTTAATGTTCCCCATGCATCAAGACCCACAGTGTGAGGCACAGGCAGCTGTGGAGCTGGGAGCTCTGTGCTTCTCAGCTGCCCATGCCCCACACCACAAAGTAATGCCTGCAACTGTGGAGCAGAGCTCCCAGCTCAGCTGCTACTTCCACTGGTGCCCTGGGAACTTAAAAAAGCAGGCATGCAGCTGGGGCTCCCGCCTATGTGCCCTCTTAAAGCTTCAAGATACAGTGAGGCTGACATTTGCAAAGATGCTTCCTGATGTCAGGCTCATGGCACTGCTCCTTGTCTCCCTCCCCCCTGCCATCTGCCTCTGGGGATTGGATGGGGTGCCAGGTCCAGGACCTAATTCTGCCCTCAGCCTGATCCCATTGATCGGGTAGGGGGCAGCTGTGCTTGGGATCCTGGGGCTGCCCTGTTCCAGATCTGTACAGTTAGCTGAGCATGGGGATCTATCATGGAACAGCCCCAACTTGCCATGTGTTCAAGGTATGATGCAAACGAATCACAAAGATATGTTACACATTATAAATGCGATAGCTTTGTGGCTTGTTTGCTATATATCATACCACAAATCGGCTTTACCATGTAGCCAAGTTACTGTTTATGGTGTGCTTAGCACCTTCATCTCTTAAATATAACATGCCAGGGCTTTTAGAAGATGAAGAACCTAATTCTGCACTCCAGCAGCCCTGCCCAGTTCTTACTATAACCATCAATTGGTGTACCCATGTATTAGAAGACAGAATTTAATCTTCTCCTCAGCACCCCATTTTGGAGGTATAGTCCCCTTCCACATAAGTCCCAGTGCTCCAGAGTCAGCACTGGCTCCCAGTAATTTTCCTGGCACAATTCAAGGTGCTGGTTTTGACTAAATGGCCTGGGCACTATGTAACTAAGGCACCACCTTATCCTTTATGTCCTATTGTGACTCCTAAAGTCAGCCAAGAGCAGCTTCATAGAAGTACCATCCATGCTCAACGTTTGCTTGGAAGTACATGGGAGGTCGTTCCTCGTAGTCACCACTCGACTCTGGAGCTTGCTGTCTCTTGAAGTCTGTCAGAGCCTGAGCATGGGCATCTTTTGGAAGTTCTGTAAAACCTTCCTGTTTGAGCAGATGTTTAGCAGGCAGTGCTGGGCTGGGATATTGTTTAGAGCATTTTTCTTTTCTTTATAGGTTATTTTCATATTCTGTTGTCTCTTATTTTGCTTCTTCTGTTTTGTTGTAGGTGCTTTTTGCTGTCTTCTGTAAGCCACTTTAGGCCTCTGTCAGGAAAAGCAGTATATAAATCAAATAAATAAATATAAATAAACTAGTGAATGATGGTGGGGGAGGGCCAGGGGAGGACAGAGTGCAGCCACCCACCAACCCATGCCACTGCTACCTCCCAGGAGCTGGGGAGAGGTGGCAAAGCTTACCCCTCTGTCCCCCTGCACCAGCACCCCGCATTGCCATTCCACCCCCCAGTCCTGCTCCTTGGAGGTGGGCGGGTGGCAAGGCCAGTAGTGATGGACTCGCCTACCTGCTCCATCCCCTCTGTCTCTGCCATCATGGTGGTGCTCTGCACTCTGACTGGTTGTTTCACTAACCAATCAAAGTGCTCGAGAAGCATTATGGACAGACAGACTGACGGACTAAGCCCTTTATAAGAATTAGTTGTCCTACAGAGGAGTTGAATTAACCTTGTAACTTCTACTGTGGAAGCTTCAGACTAATATTTTTCTATGTTTTATTATGGGTAAGCTTCAACAACAAAATGGAGTGTTTGTAATACTTGTTTGTTACAGCAGTGTGATGATGGTTGGCCTTCAGTAAGTTGAAGTTTATCTTGAAACATTTTTTCAGAACCCTTATTCCAAGGAAGAGGAAAATAACCTTGCTTGTGTCATTGAAAGTGATGAAGAACTAGAAATGGAAATGATTAAAGTAAGTGCCCAAACTTCCTTGTTTATACCACCCTTTGTGAGGAAACTTGGTCGTTTGGGGTCAAGAGTAAAGGGATGAAATTATAGTGTGTTTTACAGTGCATTTTGATTTTGGTCCAAGTTGGGTGAATTTGCTGAGATTCTGGAGGGTAGGGTTAGGATTCAGAGTGACCTTGATAAACTGGAGAAATAGTCTGAAATCAATTGAATGAAATTCAGTATGGACAAATATAGACTGGATAATGACTGACTGGCTAGGCTGCAGTACCTCAGAAAAGGACTTCTACCCTGGCACCTGTCCCCCCAGCCTCTGCTCCCTGCAGCCTCTGCCCCATTCTCCACAGCCTGTGCCACTTTCCCCATCCCCTGCTCCATACAGTCTCTGCCTTCTTCACCCTTTTCCTCCCCTGCTGCTTATTGTCAGATGTGGCTCTGACTTCATTCCCTTCTGGGTCATGAAGCACATGGAAGTGTGGATCCTGCCCAGCCATGCAGCAGTGTCCCAGGGCTAGAGGTGCACTGCTGCTGACTGTGGGCAGGGGATGGAGTTTCCGTGTGTTCGATGCTACTTGAGGGAATCCATCCAGAGCTGGAGCCAGAGCCATGCTTGACAGTAAGTAGGAGGAGAGGGGGCAGAGGCTGCAGAATGCAGGGGGTGGGGAGGGGGTGACGGGGATGGGACAGTGGTGCTGTTGCTCTGACTCTGGCCCCTACGTTGTACTCTGTTCCAAGACAAGGGACTTTTGTCCCCCATGTTAAATGGGGAAAATCCTGTGTAAATATGGTATTTCCACTGTTTTCAGTGAAACCACTGGCATGTTTAACTTGAAATGTATACTCACATGCTGTGCTGGATCAGGGCCAAATTAAGAGAGAGTATGATTTTTAAACCATAGAAAAGTAGGGCTGGAAGGGAACTTGGGAGATCATGTAGTACAACATCCCTCTTACTCAAGGCAGGATCAGGCCTGCTTAAACCATCCCACTCAAACTTCTGTCTAACTTGACATTAAAAACTTCCAAGAATGGAGATTT